TTCAGGGCATGCAGGAGACAGCCAATCAATGATTCTTTCTCATCATTGATGTTTCTCTCTCTTTCCTTCTCCCTTCCTCTCTGAAATCAATACAAATATATTTTTTAAATAAATTAAATTGCTAATCAGCTGACCTTAAAATGGGGATATTATCCTGGATTATCTCTATGAGCCCAGTAGTTATGAATCCTTCAAAGTGGAAGAGGGAGGCAAAAGAGAATTTCATAGTGATGTGATATGAGGATTCAGCCAAATGTTGGTGGCTTTGACGATGGAGGAAGGGGGCTATGAGCCAAGGAATGCAGATAGCTTGTAGAACAAACAAACAAAAAAATGAAGGGATCTCCCTTAGGGCCTCCAGAAGGAATACCCTGACAACGCCAGTGAGGACCCTTGTAAAAATTTCTATGCTATGTAATGGTAAACTAGTAAATTGTGTTAGTTCAGATTATGAGTTTGTGGTAATTTACTATAGCAGCAATAGAAAAGTAATGATAGTTCATATTTCAGACAATCCTCATGAAAACCCCAGAGAAAAGTTGTGCTAATTCTTTTTGCTGATGAATTGTATTATCTCTCTTCATCTCATGTTTGTTGATTAGCAAATTACTAATTTTTCCTGATGTCTTCAGCATGTAGTATAGTATTCATTGAAGTTGTTGCTTTAGGCAGACACTTAACACAAATGTCATTGTAGTAAAAATCTGCACAAAAGAGTGATTTTCAAGAAAGATATTGGTCAGAAGAAAAGTGTCTTTTGTTCCTTGGTTTTTGTTTTTCTTGCCTGGGTTGGAACCACAGGAATTCTTAGGTTAACTAATGTCAGAAAAAAAATGGTGTTATTGGTTCATTATAATTTTCATGGCTACTCTTACTGGTGCTTTGCCATTTGTGTGCTCTGGGCAGGCTAAATGTTGTCTCTCTCAAATGTCCTGTCCACTGATTTGTTTTCAAACCCACAGTGCTTGATACTAACTTCCACAGGCATCCACCTCCTAGTCCAGTCACCTCTAATATGCAGCAAAGGTGAGCCACATCAAAGCACACCACTGTGAGAAACTATTACAGTTTTCCCAATCTCTGGGAATCTCCTATTCTTCATCTTCTTTCCCCCAACCCTGTGAAACAACTCTTGTGTCCTTTGTCATGGGTCTAATATTCCTGAAGGCCTGGGTGGGGATTTTTTTAGTGTTCCCTTGGAAAATGTAACTCTTAATTGATTCTTACTTCCTCTTGAGGTGGGAAGATAAGGGGATATGCTGATATAAGTAATCTTAGACCTCTATAGAATATAAAGATGTGGCTGTGTGAGGATGGGAAAGGGGAGAAAATGTTTGTTTCTCTCTTATATCAGGAAGAACTTATTATATAACTCAATAGAGTGTCTTTTCATATAACATTTTTTAACTCAAATTGGAAAAGTTTGGTTATACTGAAAATGAATTTGTAGAGAATGACTCTTCTTGACTATAAGTTATAGTAAAATCACAAATTTATTGAAAATACAACAAAAATGGGCAAAGAAAATGTGGGGTGGGGGGTTCTCTTAATTTCCTTCTTGCTAGACAAGGGAACATCATAAAATTACCAACTCATTTTTTTGTTTTGTTTTAAGTAATTATGAAGTTGCTCTCTCTCTTAGGCCTTTTTTACTCCTTCTTTCCTCTCTGAAGTGGGTTGATAGTTTGGGGCCTGAATCATTTGCAAACATCTTCATGCAAACATCTTGTGGTTGATGCTGGTTTGGAGCTGGAACCTAGGCTGGTTATGGGCTGGAATTCCTACATGTAGCCTCTCCACTTGGCTTCTATGTGTGGCACAGTTTCATCCTCCTCCCAGAATAGCAGCTGGGTTCCATGAGCAAGTGTCACAAAGCAGACTGACATATTTATTAACTGGCCTCAGAAGTCATGTCCTCTATACATTATTTGCGTCAGTTATAGATGTCCACCCAGGTAAAAGGGCAGTGAGGCTTCACCATGCTATGGGAGGAGAACCAAGGTCACACTATGAGAAAAGCATGTGGGATGGGAGATATTGTGCCCATCTTTGGAAGATACAATCTGCTATACGTCCTCATTCAGGCCTTCTGCAAACGCATGTTACACCACCATTATGAGAATTTTATAGACTTCTCGTGTTGCATCACAAGCACTCCTGCTGTTGTCCATGTTATAACCAGGAGTAGGAAAAGGAATGATAAGTAGCATTTAATGAGTGCTTATTTTATGTCAGGTAAATAAGAAGGTACTATTTTTTTTTCTCTCTTTTACTATAGTTAGGCCAAGAAACTCAAGGAACAGAAAGACTAAGAACAATGAGACAATTCCAAGGAAAGAATACCACTATTACTGATATAGTTCATAAGAAATAATGCAGTCTTATGAAAGTTAATAAAAATTAGGTGTCTACACATTACTTATGCCTCCTTGATTTATAAAGCTTCTATTTTCAATAATCAAAACATCAATTTACCTCTTTATCAAAAATATTTTTAAAACTAAAGGCCTGATGCACCAAATTCATGCAAGAGTAGGTCTTTCTTCCCCTGGCTGCTTGCACCGGCTTCCCTCTGGCACCCAAGACCCGGGTTTCCCTTGCAGCCCCAGCTTTGTCTGGAAGGTCGTCTGAAAGGACGTCTGGTCTAATTAGCATATTATGCTTTTATTATTATAGATACTAAATTGATATATTTTTAATCCTATAAGCCAAGTTCCCCAATAGACATTACACAATTATAACTCCAGGGAGGTGACAGAGTGAAGTTTGCCTTAAGAAAGGTGATATGAAGAAATGGAAATCTGTGACACATAGCAAGTCAAAGAACAAGAAGACCTTATTATTGTAGGATAATGTGGAGGACACATCGTGGAGAAAGAAGGGAAGATGTGTTTGTATTATGAATTCCTGTTCCCATTTCAGCTTGCCACATTTCCTGCTTAGAGCTTTGCAATCAGACCATATTTTTAATGTATTTATATATGTGTGTGTGTGTGTGTGTGTGTGTGTGTGTGTGTGTGTGTGTATATATATATTCATATAATCTCTGGTTATAGATTTCAGTATGTCCAAGCTAAAGAGAAAAATTACTCATTGAAACCTTGTATTCCCCTGGAATTCTAGATTTTACTTTTTTATTATCTCAAATTGATCTGTCCCCCTGTATGTCTGTTCCTACTACCAGCTTCTCTGGCATTACTTACCTTTGGGGAGTCTTTTTCCTGGTCTTAATACTAAAATTTGTGAGCATTGAGGTCTCTTGATTCAAGAATATGAAGTCTTTGCTAGGCCCAAATCCATTAAGGATATCCTTCTTGAATGAAGAAGAGAATCATGTAATCACAGTAGGTTTTTGTTTAGCCTTCATTTAGTATCTTAGAATGGCTAAAAGGTTTTAGAGATCATCTAATCTTTCTGGGCTCACTTCACCCCTAATCTTTCTAACATCTACTCTAGAATAAACTGAGTTCTGGAGAGTTTAAGTGTGGTCAAACAGTGGTAAAGTCAGAATCAGAGATTGAAATTAATCCTTCTGATACCTAACCCCGTGTTCTTTCCACTGTACAAGCAAGATAGTTATACAAATTGAGGCCGGGAATGCTATCCATGACTCCATGTGGAGAGGACAACAGAAGCTTCACATTTAGACTTTTTCTGGATTCTGCTGTGTGTGCTTCTTCTCTTGATTAATTTTAATCTGTATTCTTGCCATGCAATACTCCATAACTGTGAGTGTACAGTTTTCAGTGAGTTCTGTGAGTCCTTCTGGTGAAGTATTGAGACTGATAGTGGTTTGGGGAACATTCTGAACTCACAATTGGTGTCAGAAGTGAGTAAAGTTCTGTGTGGACTATGTTGTCTAAATTTGCAGTTGGCTTAAACACACAGTATACTTATATTTGGATTATTTTTGTTCACAGTTATACTCCTAACTACCTAGAACAAAATCTAGCATGTAATAGGCAGTCATTCAATATTATAATAAATAACGATTGGAAGGTGCTGACTAGTATGAGAAATTAAGAGACTGCTTATGAAATGTAATACTACAGAACCATGTTGAGAAAAGCTTCCAAATAATGCAAACTGGGTCTCTTTTTTATTATATTGTGAGTAATACCGTGATGTTTGCTGTCTTCAAAATGGTTACCTCTGTCAGTCACAACTCTTGGAAGTCTTTGGGATTATATATTATGTGTTTATATTATTACTAGGGAGTTTTAGAGATTAAGTCTTTTCAGTTTATATGAGTTACCACCAGATGGTGATATTTTTATTAGGTAAGTAGCTTTTGTCTGTAGATATATAATTTATAGAAAAAAGAGACAACTTATATGAAATGTAATATTTATTAATAAGAAGAACAATAGAATAATGCAAGGGTAAGATATTTAAATATAGCACAAAATATCTATAAGGGTGTTATATCATTTCTTATTTTATCAGGAACACATTTTTATAGTCACAATGACATTAAAGTATAAGTGGATTTTACACTGATGTAGCTGAACCTTCTCCTCTCTGATCAAGGCTTGGGAGGAGGAAACACTCAAGCTTAGGCACAGGCCCTGTAGAGGGTTTTTGTAGATTCAACCACTGTTGGGTTGGAGTTTGATGTGTTATAGGTTACTAATGTGATACTGATTAGCCTTCCAAGCTGTGGCTTTGGGCTAAATTATCCTGGTGTAGTGTCAATACAGCAGAGCATTTAAGTGTATCCATGGTGTGGTTAATTCAACAACCAAGTTGTTTTTGTTTTTCAGTTGCCACAGTATAGGCCCAATTACAGTAGGGGTGGGGGTCGGGGGTTGGAGATGGGGGATGGGGAGGGTGGGGACACAGAAGGGAGAAAGGGTATTACTATTTTCCAATCAAATTCTCATGCTCTTTAAATATTGGTTTTCATTAATCTTGAAATATGTACCTAGCAATCATTTAATAAAATATATTGAATTGTTTCTTTGCTTGAGATACTCATATCTTTGAGAAAGAAAAAAGCACCTAAAGTTGGAATATTATTTGAACTAAAATTTTCTGTGCTTTAAAAATGGCTAAGAAAGTTTGTCAAATCTGCGGCTTTAGAAACAGACACTTTTGTTTTGGACTTAGAGGATTTTTCTCTACTTACCCAGAAATTTTGTTAGTCTAGTTGGGTGTACCTCACAGAAATTAATTTGGCAGTTTTTCCTCAATTTCCATTCAATTAAAGTGAACAGTTCGAGAAATGATGAAGTTTATATTTACAACCTTTCCTAATAATGTTTCAGTTAAAGACTATTTGTAGTTCCACTTGAAACACACAAAGTATTTGTTTTAAGAGCAGTCTTGACATACTGAAAAGATGAAAACACTGTTACATTAAAGAGAGAAAGAAAATTTAAAAATTCAGTAAACAATTTGTATTTTATAGAAATGAAGGAAACAACTATCTACGGACTAGGGACATGCATGGTTTGAAGTTGGAAGTTAATTTGCAATTTTATACAAGAATATATTTTCTAGACATCAGTGCAAAGTTAAAGCTGTACCTGTAATAAGCTTGCTTTGCTAATCACATTTCGGCAAGCCTCTTCCAACACAACTCAAGAGTTTTGCTGCATTTCTTTCATTCCCCAAATGTCTTTTTCCCCCTTGCAGTTTAAAGCCCAACATTATGTGTAGAAACATGCATGGGAACAGTATACTCATCAAGCTTAAATAATTTTTTGTTTACTCTGATGTTGACAAACATTGGCAAAACATTAATAAACTCGGCCAAGATTTGATTTAGAAAAGATTTTTAGAAATTGGATAAGAAACAAATCTTTTAATTACCACAGTGTGTGATCATTAAAGTGACACATCAAAAGCACTTAAATGTTTGCACTATTTCCAGCTGTTTGCAGTACAAATAAGTACCTAGTATATCTGTAAAGCTTATGCAAACCAACAAATGAAAAAGGAAATCAAAGAGCCTTAGAACAAAGGTGTTAGTTTAGCGGGGTGGAGTTGAGGCACCATTCTTGCCTGTACTAGACCAAGTGGTCACTAGCTACCCTTGCTTTCTTCCTCTCTCTTCCTGTAAGCTTGATTTAACAACTGGATTTCCTCTTGGTAGCCATCCCTCTCTTGATGCTGCCTTTTACTGTTCTGCCTGTGTGCTTCAACGGTGTCTGGGATGGAGATGTTGATGTTACCATCAGGACTACTTGTGGGTAAAAAGAGAGAATACGAGGCTGTTTCTCCCAAGTCACATGAAACAAATCTGTTTTCTTTCCGTGAGTAGCGTAGGGATGGAGATCGGACCTGTGTGGAGGACTGGCTGATGTTGCTAATGATCGACACAGTGTCCAAGGCCTCTTCATTATCACAAATTTCAAGAACCTCCAAATGTATTTTTACACTGGTGTCTGCAAATGTGGATGGAGAATCTTCTGAGTTTGGTTCATGGCCAACACTTTTGGATCGATAGACTTCTATTTTCTTAGAGGCTGGGGTTATTTTCTGTCCTTCTGTGCTTACCTCATAAGTAGAAAGAGATAGTGTTTTCCCTGTAGGGGCCTGGAGAGACACCATCCCCTGGAACGCACACAAGGGAATGTCAAGGCCACCACCGGAACGCTGGGGACAAAAACGAAATGGTGATTATTGAAAACTAGTTTCTGAGATTAGGCCATTTAGAAAGTCATTTTATTCATCAAAATGGTGATTTTTTGCCAATAGAGATCTATTTCCCTAGAAACCTTTCACAGATAAGGGCTTTAAATTCCACCATCATGCAGTTTGTTCTAGGTCAAATACAACATCTAAATGAGGGCAGTCAGGAACCTTTCTTTGAGGATATGGGAGATATTTCTACTGCCGAAAGCAAAATTTGTGTATTGATGGGCAGCAGTAGATGTTTTCAAGAGAAGAATATGAGCATAAAATTAAATGCAATTTATAATCGAGAATTGCTTTTATGATTTTGCTACATAGTCAGTAACATTGAGAGGTTTGCATAGATTGAAAGCACCCCAGTCCCCCTTAGAATGCCAGAGAGAACTATGATTCAGGTTAGGTACAAAAAATATTTCAATGGTTAGGTTTGCGCACACAAAAGAGGAACCACGCTTCACTGAAACTGTGCTAGAGTATGCTTATTTTTCCACAGAGAAATCACAGTGGTTTAAGTAAACCCAGTGATCAGGAACTCCCCCAATTATCTCTGCAAAAACTTGCCTAAAAATTTAAACCTTTTTATATTTAAAACTTTGTGTATTTAACTCTTTTAAAAATTGTACTCACCATTGAGAAATATTAAGAAATGAAGAAAATAATACCAAATTTTATGATAGTCTGTACTTTATGTTGTTGATTCATACCTTTATTCTTTTAATGGGCTCCTTTTTTAATTACATGTTAGTCTCAGAAGAAGATATGCCAAACTACTAGAGCAGAGGTTCTCAAACCTAGGTCTCTAGATCAAGCATCATCAGTATCACCTTGTAACTTGTAAGAAGTGTGATTTTTGAGCTCCGTTCCACAACTACTTAATTAGAAACTCTGAGAGTGGAGCTCAGCAATCTCTATTTTATTTAATTAATTAATTGATTTTTTTGTTAATCCTCACCTGAGGATATTTTTTCCATTGAATTTTAGAGAGAGTGGAAGGGAAGAAGGGAGAGAGAGAAAAAAACAAACAAACATTGACCCATCTGTACTTTAAATAAGCCTTCCGGGTGATTCTGTGGCATGCTGTGGCTTGGGATCCTTTACTGCAACTAAAGAAATGACATAACCCTTTATTCATTCAAAAAGAAGGGGCTATAGGATGGTTAACCTATACTTTTCTACATGTGTCCCCTGTAAAGCCTGGAGATACTAACTGAGGAGTGTTAAGGGTGTTGGCTTAAGAGCGTTTTTCCTGTAGGGGAATTCGCATGAAGGCTCATGGTGTTTTGCCAATTTAGGATGCTCAATCTCCCCAGTGTGTCTGTGACTGTCCCAGTTTTAGCACTGAAATTCCAGTATCCCAGGAAATCTCTCTATCCCAAAGAAACCAGAATGGTGGGTCACCCTGTTAGCCATGGGCATTTTGTATATGGACCTAAGAGTGGCTAGAGAAAGCCCAGGACCAGGGTCCTGCTATTGGTGAATAGTTTGGATTCTCACCTACTTGGAGAATTTTTACAGGAGGATGCCTCATGCCATCATGTCTCACTCCTTGCATTTAGGGACCATGAAAAGTACAGTCTAGGACATGTGAGACATGTCACTAGGCTTTCCGTTATTCCCTATGGAGAAATCTTGAGCTCTGTTTACCTAAAAGGGAACCTGGGAACCTAACTTGAGGGCCTTGTCCTTTCATAAACTTTGAAATCTTACACTGTAAAGATCAGTTTACCCTTCTGCTGAGGCAAAGAACTTCACCAACTTCACATGTGTGATGTTGACTGAAGCAGTAGAGACAGAGGGACAATTCTTAGGTTCACTGCGATACCAGAGAATTGTTTGAGTGGCAACAACTTTTGGCAAAGGAGAAGTGACTTTTATTTATTTTTTTATACATTCATTCATGAAACATTTGCCGAGTACCTATTATGTGCACTATCCTGAATTTAAATTGGTTGTACAGATATACTATAAACTATACATATAATACATATCCTATATAATAAAAGCCTAATATGCAAATTGTCCCCTTGACTGGGAGTTCAGCCAGGGGGCAGGGCTGGCTGCGGTGTTGGCAGGTGGCCGGGGGGAGGGACCTCCCCCCCCACCCGGCAGGCGACAGCCGCTAGGGACCCTACCCATGCAGGGATTTCATGCACTGGGCCTCTATATAAAGATTTACTATACTTGATTCAAAGACTTCACAGGTAATTGGGTGAGATAGACGTGAAGAAACAAAATAAAACTTTAAGTGTCTATTAGAGATAGGAACCAAGTTTTGTGGATTTAAGTAAGGCATGACAACATCTGGTAGAAGATTTCATATAGGGTGGTATTTGAAATGGATATTAAGAATCAAGAAAAGATTTAGGTCCTGGCTGGGTATCTCAGTTTCCTAAAGCGCTGTCCTAAAATTCCAAGGTTGTGGGTTGGATTCCCGGTCAGGGCACATACAAGAAGCAACTAATGAATGTGTATAAATTAAGTGGAACAATAAATTGATATTTCTCTCTCACTCTCCCTTTCCTCTTTCTCTCTAAAATCAATCAATACATAAACATTAAAAAAGAAAAAAAAGATGCCCTGGCTGGTTTTTCTCAGTGGTTAGAGCGTCGGTCTGCAGACTAAAGAGTCCCAGGTTCGATTCCAGTCAAGGGCATGTGCCTTGGTTTCGGGCACATCCCCGGTGGGGGGTGTGCAGGAGGCAGCTGATTGATGTTTCTCTCTCATCGATGTTTCTGGCTCTCTATCTCTCTCCCTTCCTCTCTGTAAAAAATCAATAAAATATATTTTTTTAAAAAAAGAAAATGAAAAAAAGAAAAGATTTATAGTTTTAAATTTACAGTTTTAAAAGCCATTCTTTCTGAGTAATAAGTCATAAATTAAAGGGCCAACTTAAAGGTTTTCCATCCTGAGAAAACCTTTGTTATCAAAGTCAGAAATTTCTGTTTTTTAAAAAAATCAAAATTGACAGACATTTATATAATCAGAAAATCTGACTGTCATTTAATAATGTGAATTATAAATACCCCGCACAGCCTTCTTTATTCTGAAAGCTAGTTAACCTGAAAGCTGAACTTCCTTACATTACAATTTATTGGAAGAAGATTAAAAAAACCCTACATCAGAACTTAAAAAATTGTTTACAAGTTTTCTCTTTGATATAGAATGTTGCATAAACAGAGTCCTATGGATTATTATATTTAAAAAAAGAAAAATGTGCCCAGCCACTGTGGCTCAGTGGTTGAATGTGTTTTTTGGTGTGTGTGTTCTGTTTTTATTTTTAGCAGTTTTTGAGATAGACACAGGATTTTAATTTCATTTCACATTAGTCACCAGACATGTTTCAGGGCACAAAGATTCTAATAACAAGAGGCAATACAGGGTATGGGCAAGGCACACAGCCTAAAACCAATGACTATAGCTTTGGTGGTAAAAAGCTAATGGCCCACACACATTTGCCTTAATCACTATCAGAAGTCATACACTTCCATCTTGGCAGCATAGGACACTCAGATGACAATAGCTAATTAGCCTCCATGTGGAAGAGTGCACAGCATCTAATAGTACAGCAAATGTATTTATTTATTTAATTTTTTAAAATTCTATTTTTCAATTATAGTTTACATTCAACATTATCTTGTTTTAGTTCCAGGCGTACATCATAGTGGTTAGACAATGATATACTTTACAAAGTGATCCCCTCGATATTCCAGTACCCACCTGGCACCATCCACAGTTATTGCAATATTACTGACCATATTTCCTATGCTGTACTTGACATGATGTTCGCCATGGGTTTGCCATTCTATGGCCTTTATGATGTTGAGGTATGTTCCCTCTTAGCTGAGAGTTTTTATCATAACCGGGTACTGGGTTTTAACAAATGCTTTTTCTGTGTCTATTGATATGATTGCATGATTTTTATCCTTTGATTTGTTTATGCGGTGTATCATACTAATTGATTTGCGGATATTGTACCAACCTCGCATCCCAGTAATAAATCCCCCTTGATCATGGGTGGTTGAATGTTGACCTCCCAGGAGGTCAGGGTTCAATTCCCAGTTAGGGCACATCTTCAGGTTGCAGGTTCCATCCCCAGGAGGGGGTCTGCAGGAGGTAGCCAATCAATGATTTTCTGTCATCATTGATGTTTTTCTCTCTCTCTCCCTTTCCTTTCCTCTCTGAAGTCAATAAAAATATATTTAAAAAGAAAAAAGAAAAATGTGATGAGAAAACTGAGTTACCAGTGCCCAGCAGTATTGGCACATCTATTTCTAAAGCACACTTGTTAGAGCATCAACAGCATAACATGTCTTTATACCATATACCAACTTGAATCACTGATGAGCAGTTAATATAAAAGCAAATGTGATAAATAATTTTTGTGTGTGTCTGGTTTTATACATCCACATAATGCACATTTTAGTAACTCTCCCTTGCTAACCTTATCTTCAAACGAACAAACAAGCTTTACTGAGTTATCAAATGACAGCTCATTAAAATTGATATTTGAGAGTTGCATAGTGCCAGAGTTTTGCTAAGCACGAAGTCTCATTATTCTGAAATAGCACACTACATCTTTTGTTATCAAAATTATTTTGTGACATCTTTTTTCTTTCATGCATGTTTATAATAGCTGAATATATGTGCTGACACATTGTGTATATATATGTACGTGTAATACACTAGTAACATGAATATGAAATATACGTATATTTTTCTGCAAATATTGAAACATTCTTATTTAAAATGATGGTCTCCATTTGAGAGTCATAAAGGTAAAAACACAGAGACAGATTATATAGAAACAGTTCTGAGCATATATCTTTATACTATTAATCCAAAATTGGCAAGTTAGTTTTAGCAAAATAGTACATTCACTTAAGGCTAATTCAGTAGTTTTAATTTTATTGGTTATGAAAGTAATGTTTAAGTTGTTTTGGTTTTAGATTTATGTAAGAAGT